TCATCATCATCATCCGGTGCCTTGCCGACTGGCGTGGGCGATCATGGACCTCCACTTCCATCTGTCTTTCGAAGCAGCAATGGTGTCTGTTGTTCTTGCTGCTCCCAGCCATGTTGTCATCTTGTACAGTATCTTTTCCCTCTGTCTGCCTCTACCTCTCTTTCCATCAAACTTTCCTGTTGTTACAATGTTCTCTAATGCTTCTTTCCGCATTGTGTGTCCGACAAAATTTGCCTGTCGTTTTCTTATATTCGTGATAAGTTGTTTTCTATAATGTACTGTGTTTCTGAAGGATGCTTGCACATTTATGAGTTCTGTGAGATAGGATTGTCCAATTTCGTGGATTGCTTCAAAAGCTAACAGTAGGATCTTTAGGCCAACCTCACAAGCAACTGTTAAGGCCCGAGTTCTGGGGAGGGGGAGTTTTGGAGGGGATAGGGTTTAGGCCTAAAACTAAAAGAGGGGATACCATTTAAAAATATATAAACACTGCGCTACTAGACCTAGACTAGATTTATCTAGATCTGGGTCTATTCTACGTTTTATATTATTCATTCCGGAATCTGGACACTAATTTTGTAAGGTTTCAATTTGCTAAAAAAAACTAACTCTACATCTAGCACAAAAAATAACCTTTTACATGTATAATGCTGGGTTCCCTTCCTGTCCCTTCCCTTGCTTAAAATATCTAGATCTAGGCCTAATAATACATGTCTGAATTATTTTACAGATAGCCTACCTTGATTTTTATTTATATCGGGGGTTTTGTAAGCACAGTTCACCTTTCACCTCATTGTGACCTCATGTACCCTTAGAAAAATGTCAATTTGGCAGAAATTAGGCTAGAAATATAACATTCGCAGGCTTTTGACACCAGCAGGGCCACAACTTTGGTTGGAACCAAAGATAGTACAAGACAAGATAGGTCACTTCTCTCTTTGAGCCAATTAAAAAAGTGTCTGCTAATGATTCACTTTAATTTTAGAAAAAAAGTGGCCTAGAGAGAGTCGAAACAAAATGTCACAGCGCTTTCTGAAAACTAGCAAGTTTTGGGATAAATTTCGGAAGAACGCTTTTTAAAAATGGTTACGCTAACAAAACGGGGGGAGGGGGGGGGGGGGGGAACGAAAAAAATGTGACCTTGTTGTACCGTCTCTGGCATATTTGTGGCCTATTTTTTGAGTAAAACTCCGCACTGAACGTACCCGAACTGCTGATGAACAGCAGTCGATCTGCGCACGCAAGGAGGTGCTATTCCTATTCTTCTTCTGGAAAAACGAAAGAGAGCTTCAAAACAGACTGCAGCGCCATCTGAAGCAAAGAGCATACTTCCTGCGGACACTTTTTAGGCTGAGTGGCCCATCTTGTCTTGTACTATCTTTGGTTGGAACTGTTATCTGGGTTGCCAGGTATCTGGTGACTTAGGAGGCCAAAGGTGCTTGATTTGGAACCCGCTGCTAATGATTCACTTTAATTTTAGAAAAAAAAAGTGGCCCAGAGAGAGTCGAAACAAAATGTCACAGCGCTTTCTGAACTAGGCCTGGGAGTAAAAACCCAGTCTGACTCTGGTTTGGGCTAGCTTAGGGCTATTTTAGTTGTGGCCTCCCTGACAGGCTTTGCTGCGGCCTGATCAAAACGGGGGGAGGGGGGGGGGACGAAAAAAATGTGACCTTGTTGTACCGTCTCTGGCCTGTTTGTGGCCTATTTTTTGAGTGGCCCCAAGGCAATTGCCTTATTTGCCTAATGGTTAATCTGGCACTGATCGTACACATTTGGTTACTTTTCAAGGCAACCTCAATGGACGACGGTATTGTGACAAAATTCTTCGTTACGGTGACTGCCCTACATTGCTCGGATGATGGGACGTGCTAACAAGACAACACCAGCTCACAAATGGCTACGATCAGTGAAAACTCCTTCCCAACTCGTCAAACCGTTGTTCTGGACTGGCCTGCAAGACCAACAAGCCTCAATCGAACAGAACATCTGTAAGATAGCCTTGACTGGGGGATTAGAAACAGGCCGCATTCCGTATAAACTCGTCCGGAACTGAAGACTGCACTTCACAAGGAATGGCAGGGGATTCTTCAGACGACCATAAGGACGTTAATTCAGTCAACGAACATATTTTTTGTATCAGTAATTCAAGCTGGAAGAGGCCAGAAGCCAAACTGAGCACACTTTGATTTGGATTTTGCAAGGGTCAGTGTGAATACAGTTATCTCCCTTGAATAAAGAAAGACATTTGTCAATTATTATCATGATCTCGGGTACCACATTTCTATTAGCTATGTTGAATAGAAAACGAGTTATTGTACTTTTAAGGTGGGTGTGACAGAACTTTTGCAACTCGGTATATATAAATGGAGAAATGGAGAAAGAGAAAGGTAACTGGAGAGAAAAGGACAGGGAAGGGGGAAGAGAAATGACAGACAGACAGACAGACAGACAGACAGACAGACAGACAGACAGACAGACAGACAAGCAGGACAATGCAAAGGAAACCAGAAAGAAAAAAAGAGCTCAGGAATCTGGCAAGGAGAGGAGCGCAGAAGGAAAGAAGGGCTGGTCCATATAACCTCCACAATCTTTTTTTAAAAAAGAAGTAAAATAATGTTTAGTTACCTGCTGCAGGGTCATATCTCTGTACGTCCACACCCACTGAGCTGAGGTAACCCTCTTTGTCAAGTGGGAACTGTTTCATACGGTGAAGATCAACACAAGCACGACTGCCCTCCTTATCTTGGGTGTGATAGAAACGCTTACTTTCTTCCCTTTCTTTGTGAAACTCTTTGTATTGAGACTCTAGGTGCTGATTCAGTCTTCAAAATAAAAACGACAAAAAAGAAGAGAAACAAAACATGTTTTCTTCTCAAATATCCCTTATTATTTTTAGCTTCATGTAATTGTTCGCATTAGTTTTTTAAGTCCACTTTCAAGTATAAGGATAAAAATATCGCTGTTAAAAAATTCGTTTTTCTAGTATGACAAGATGGCTTTTAAGATTTTAAACAAAATAAAAACAGCTTGCAGGATGAGCTGATCACGCCACAAACAAACTATACTGTCGAACCAGCTTTATTTATCAACTGAAAAAGACAATCACTTTTACAAACGCCCACTTTCAAATTCTAGGGTCGAGTTTTTTTATCATTATAACTAAACTGTATAAGACGTCCACCTATCTAAGACGGCGACTTTTTTCATCGACAATGGGTGGCTATGATCGATAATTTCGACTGCAAATCAACCCAATGCATAGACAGATGTCAAAGAAGACGAAAAAGACCAAACTTGACCAACAGACTGGGAAGAGACCGTTTGTACAGGTCATTGTCTTATACGGGTGGCCATTAAAACTTGACAGTAATTCATCGACATCTGATAATACATAATATCACACCGATGCAGACAATCACACACCATTGTTGATGGCCACTGTGCAGCGCGCAGTGGGGATATCAGATTTTTCTTAAGGACACCCCGTGGAGACGACCCATGCATATGAATTCCATGTCACTGACATTTGTTTTAACATTACTGATTAACATTACCTTAGGTCAGTAACCATTCGGCAACTGGTCAGCACTATGGCGTTTTATCTTTTGACAAACGACCTTAAAGAAACATTCATGATACAGCTTTGCCTACACATTGAGGAAGTAGATTGCCCAAGTACTACTTCCCTCCATTACGATCTAAACTAGGTGCGCTCATAAAAATGATTTTAAGCAAGTGCTGGCGTCGTACATCTTTTACCAAAGCCAAACCCAAATCCAATATAAAAAAATAATTCCCTGATATGTTCCTCTTGTCAATGAAACAACATGAACAGCATTGGTCTGTTCCTTCTTTTCTATCAAACATGAGCTATCTTCCTGATCTCTCCTCCTTCTTTTAAGTTTTGTTACTTCCTTGTAACACCTCTAATCATAGGAACTTACATGAACACATTATTGCGTTGCAAGTGGTGTTAAACTTTCCCTCAAACTAAAACAAAAAGAACAGCATACCCTGGACCGAAGTTCACCCATTTGTCCTCCCTCATGAACTGCCACTGAATGGTCGGCAAGAGTTCTCGATTAGCTTGATTCTGATAGATTTCCTTCTTCTCTTCAGGCTGCAAGGCTGTCCACTTATTTAACACCAGCACAAGCTTGTCCACGAAAAATCCTGCCATGTTTATCTCTTTTTTTGAGGAATTCACTGTAAATTTCACCAAGCACTCGATGGCGTAGTTTTGCAGTTCCTTCATCTGTGCGCAATAATAGAGGGAACATGTTTAGAAGAGACAAAACGACTTTTGAAATGGGTGGTCTGGGCTGAAGGGGGTATACGGGTACACCTTTCAAGCTTGGGGCCTGAAATCAAGAATCAGTGTTGGAGTGTTAAATAGAATGGATGACATTTTGCTTTTGCTAAAAAAAAAAAAAAAAACCCAAAAAAACCCCCAAAAAAACAAGTAGAGTTACCTCTTTCCACATCCGACATTTCGGACATGTGTGACCTATTGTGTAGATACGGGGTTATAGTGGGGGTCACAAAGGGGTAGCTATTGTCTAGAAGGAATTATGGGAAACAGTAGGATGCGATCTTCGTGACGTACAAAGCTTTTTTTTTTGGAGGGGGTGGGGGCACTTTATGGGATGAACTCAAAGACAGAATACAAAGTGCCATATCAAGTATTCCCTGTGAAATGTGTGTCAAGGCACTCAATTGTACTGTCGATCGCTGGCTTTTTGTGTATTGACCATGCTGATGACCAGTCTGAAACTGTTAAGTAAATTCTGAATAAATGATTGTCCAATACTAGTGTAAATATAATTTTGACTCACCCTGTAAATTAAAAAAAACACCTGGTTTGATTCCTCAATACTGGCTTCGTGACCTTGAGTAGTTTGGGGGGGGGGGGGGGGGGGTCACAGCTCATCTCCCACTTGGCTCAGCTCCATCAGAAACAAACATTGAATTCGAAGGTTCCACCCTATAAATGATCTCATTTACAGCGCAGTGAGGGATGTCAAATCCTGGCAATAATCTACACAGACACTTTAGGAAACATGAAGCATAACTGCAATATTTCTCATTCAATAAACCAGAGGGCATCAGCATTAATTCATTTTCAGTGTTTTCAGATAGGATAAAGGTAACATAATATTCAGACAGAGATGCTGAATTCTGACTTACTTGGTGTTGTTCTTTTCGTCCGCAAACTGCTGTGACATGGCGGAAGGGTGGTTAAATTTATAAAATTACTAAACATTATTTATAACTCCCCCCCCCCCCGGGCCACCCCCTTCATCCCCACCCCACCCTCCTTTTGTCCCCCATGCACTTCGATGAGAAGCTGTAAGTACCTGTGAGGCTTTCAGTTTGCTACTCTTTTCGTCTTTTACTGCTGGTAATGTCTGAAATGCCCTCTTGCATCTGTCTCGTAGTTGGGCAACAACTGAGTCTTTCTCTTCCATGTTCTGATAGTAAATTTCCAAAGTTGGCTGCTGTTGGGTTTTTTCTGCGGAAGCCAGCAAAGAAATAGGTGATTTCCTGGGAGAAAATATTAGTCCTTGAAAATATGCTCAGAATTTTTACTTTAAAGCATGTTCAAGGTTTGTTTAGAATTGTTTGCTTTTGCTTTGATACGAGTTCAACCCCCTGCAACCCTCTGCTAGAAACAGTATGCAATTACTACTAGGCCAGCTTTATTTACTTTCCTTCTGTTTTACTATTTTTTGGTTTGCATTTCCCTTGCATAAAAAGGTCAAAATATTGTGGCTGTGCTTCCTTTTACTCTATTGAATGAATGAATGAATGGATGAATGAATGAATGAATGAATGAATGAATGAATGAATGAATGAATGAATGAATGAATGAATGAATGAATGGATATTTTAGGGCGACAGGGGGAGAGAAAGGGTATGGGGAGGGGGCTCGATGTACATGACAACCCGTGAGTTCAACAAACCATGAGCAGCCCCTGACAGTTGTGATAGAACTTTTCCAACTGGGTACATTATGATAATTTTGACTTATTGAGTTATTGTCTTTAAAGAACACATTGCCAGACAAGGCGATGCACAATAATGGAGGCGTGTGAATGGTCCAAGTTCTAATTTCGAAAGGGGTGTTCTTGGGCATAGTTGTTTGGGGAGTGTTGCTCAAAACTCTTCCACCTCTTGGCGCTATCCTTTCGGAGACTTTAGAGGCCCCACCTTTTGAATAATCTGGCATTGCAGTAAGTGGCGTCAAATCCTCACAATATTCAAACTACACGTAACATTTTAGGAAACATGGAACATAACTCTATGATACATCTCATTCAAAAGACCAGAGGATATCAACATTTAATTTTCGCTGTTTTCAGTCTGGCTAAAGGTGGCATACCCGGAAAAAGATATGGAATTAGGTTCTTACCAAGCATTCTCTTATCATCTGTGGCCCGCTGTGACATCGCAGACTGAAAGGCCTAAAAACAAAAGAAAAAAGAATAATTGCAATAACTAACATAAATTAATTATACCTTTAGCCTTAAGCCTACATATTATTCATATATACCTTCAGTCTTACCTATTATTCATATATACCTTCAGTCTTACCTATTATTCATAGTCTAATTGGCAGTCTGAAAACATCGAACTGAGAGTAACAAGAGCAAGCAGGCGGTTTTGGGGGTGCCACGAGAAGTAACCCTAAAATTTTCTTAATACAATGATAATAAAAAGAATTTATTACATGCGTTATATTGATGGACCATGGTTTATCCTACGAGTAAAAATGCCAAGTTATAATCCCAACTCGTGATTGTCGCTGACACCGATCCCATAATCCACGAGGATAGTAAGGGCGCTGTATGACAGAGAGCCTCGTCATGGGCCTCCGCTTTTCTTCTTTTTTTTTCTTTTTTTTTTTGGTCAGCGCAAAAACCAAACTATTATTAGCATAGAAACGGTTGTAAAAATCCATTCCTAGAAGCACATGACAGAATTGCAATGAGCTTATATAGAGAGCTGCCCGTGCTTTGAGTAAAGAAGAGTATTGAAAGAGCAAGACAGACGCACTGACAATAAGCGGAGAAAAGAAGTATGACCTACCAGTGGCCCTCTCCAACCAAATTGTGTGCTGACAGGGAACTAAAAGAGTTGAGTTCTACGTAAAACTTTATGTTAGAGAACACTACGACCATGACAGTCGTGAAT